TCGAATTCAAGAGCAGCCTGACCAACATGGAGAAGCCCCATCTCTACTAAAAATACAAAGTTAGCTGGGCAGGGTGACGCATGCTGTAATCCCAGCTACTCGGGAGGGTGAGGCACACGAATCACTTAAACCTGGGAGGTGGAAGTTGTGGTGGTAAACCGAGATTGCGCTACTGCATTCCAGCCTGGGCAACAAGAGTGAAACTGTCTAAAAAAAGGGGGGGCTGGGTGCGGTGGTTCACACCTGTAATCCCAGCACTTAAGAGGCTGAGGCGATGGATCACCTGAGGTCAGGAGTTTGAGACCAGCCTGGACAACATGGCGAAACCCCATCTCTACTAAAAAAAAAAAAAAGACAAAAATCAGCTGGGCATGGCAGTGTGTGCCTATAATCTCAGCTACTGAGGAGGCTGAGACAGGAGAATCACTTGAATCCAGGAGGCAGAGGTTGCAGTGAGCCGAGATCGCGCTACTGCACTCCAGCCTGGGCAACAGAGCAAAAAACTCAATTTCAAAAAAAAAAAAAGTGGAGAAAATTACCTGTAAGCTTATAATGTCTTTACATATCACTTGGAAGCACTAATAGGATTCTTAGGGGTCTCTAAAATCAGTTTCTTTATTTTTATTTTAGTTAGTTAGTTTGGAGACAGGGTCTTGCTCTGTCATCCAGGCTATTATGGTGCAGTGGTATGATCATAGCTCATTGCAACTTCAAACTCCTAGACTCAAGCAATTCTCCTGCTTCAGCCGCCCGAGTAGCTGGGACTATAGACACTTGCAACTATGCCCAGCTAGTTTTTATTTTTTAAATTTTGTGTAGAAACAGGATCTTATCATGTTGCCCAGGCTGTTCTAAAACACCTGTCCTCAAATGATCCTTCCGCCTCAGCCTCCCAAAGTGCTAGGATTATAGGCATGGGCCACCACATGTGGCCTTTTTTTTTTGGTGGGGGCAGAGTAAATGTCTTTTTTAATTGAAAAGCTAACAAATTTTCCAGGTCCATTTCTCTCAAAAAAAAAAAAAAAAAAACTGTGTAGTAACTGTGTCTCAGCAATATATTCAAAGCTAAGAGGATTTTTTTTTTTAAGTCCTCAGATGCAATTAAGGGAGTCCTGCTTCATATAGGCTAATCAGTATCAGTCATACTCCTTGACTCTAGGAGGCTAGAAGATATCCTAGCAACCCCACTCAGATCATTTGTTTCAAGTAGCTTTTTTCCAGTTTCCAACTCATGAGTAAAGATAATATTTTGTGCCGGGCGTGGTGGCTCAAGCCTGTAATCCCAGCACTTTGGTAGGCCGAGGCAGGTGGATCACAAGGTCAAGAGATCGAGACCATCCTGGTCAACATGGTGAAACCCCGTCTCTACTAAACATACAAAAAATTAGCTGGGCATGGTGGCGCGTGCCTGTAATCCCAGCTACTCAGGAGGCTGAGGCAGGAGAATTGCCTGAACCCAGGAGACAGAGGTTGCGGTGGGCCGAGATCGCGCCATTGCACTCCAGCCTGGGTAACAAGAGCAAAAACTCCGTTTCAAAAAAAAAAAAAAAAAAAAAAAAAAAGATAATATTATACATCAAAGACTCAATAAATATTAAAATTTTAATTTGAGTGAACCCTAGACCTGCCATAGTAAAAGCACTCAAGGCTGGAAGCCCAGGAGGGACAGAGGTTTGGGGTTGGGTTCAGACCTCTGTGGATTCACAGGCTATTTGAATGAATTAATTCATCAACAGACATATACATATGCATATATATGCCCACATACAAACACAGGTATATACTCCCTTACCTACACATATAAATAGATCCAGGCCCTGCCCAGCTCAACAGCACAAAGCTCTTCAGCAATGTGCGAAGGCCTGGGACTGGGCCCACACTTGTATCTGAAAACAAAGGGCATAAGGGCTTTGGAGGGTCTCTCTCTTCCCCTACCCCAGCAATTCCTCTTCACCAGGGGCTGCTAGGGGCAAATGGGGAGGAGCCAGATATGGGACTCTAGAGGAAGTCGTTGGCCACTGTGTTTCCTGAGTTCAAGAGTGTGTTCTCCTGCTCCTCTGACTCCACCTCCTGCCCTCAAGCAGGGCGGGGTCCAGGCCTGGCAATTGCCTTTTCCCTTGGCCACCTTTCCTCTATACACAAACACATACATACAAGACATGAACCTACAAATGCCCAACTGAGTCACACAGCCACTGTCCCACCAACCCCATAACTCAACACTGTTGCACTGCTAAGCCACACATTCAACAACAGATCCTCATTTGCGGATTTACAGCCTCCACTCACACTCAGCAGTCAAATCTTCTCTGCTTTGTTCAACAACGTTATCTTCAGCACCTAGAATGGGCCTGGTACCTAAAGAGGGCTCAATGAATACTATTTGAATTAATTAATTTACCAACAGGCACATACATAAACATGCATACCATGCCCACATAAAAACCCATGTATACGGCCGGGCGCGGTGGCTCAAGCCTGTAATCCCAGCACTTTGGGAGGCCGAGGCGGGTGGATCACGAGGTCGAGAGATCGAGACCATCCTGGTCAACATGGTGAAACCCCGTCTCTACTAAAAATACAAAAAATTAGCTGGGCATGGTGGCACGTGCCTGTAATCTCAGCTACTCAGGAGGCTGAGGCAGGAGAATTGCCTGAACCCAGGAGGCGGAGGTTGCGGTGAGCCGAGATCGCGCCATTGCACTCCAGCCTGGGTAACAAGAGCGAAACTCCGTCTCAAAAAAAAAAAAAAAAAAAAAAAAAACCCATGTATACACTCCCTTAGCTGCACATATAGACAGATCCAGGCCCTCCCAGCTCAGCAGCACATACATACACACAGATACACACTTAGGCTAACAGGCCAGATGTACACCCAGTGCCAGACAGAGACCCACTGTAGGTGTCACCGGGCACTCTCAGGGTGAGTTGGTGGTGGCCGCTTGCTGGTAAATGTCCTTCAGGTTGGCCAGATCTATATAGGAAGAGTTGGGAGTGGGGTGCAATAGCATTCCTTGGGGTCCTGAGGCACTGGGGCTGTGAGGAGAAGCTGGGCTGGCAGCAGGGCAGGGTAACTGTAGAATGGAGAGGGATGGGGTGGGTTATGCAATCCCTTCCTTTGGTGTCTTCCTACTAGCTAGGGAGGTGAGGGTAGAGGTACAGGTCTATAGGGTTTTATTTCAGATCCAGGGAGACCTTAGTAGGTGAATAGTTTGGGGCCTCAGCTTCCCCTGCCTGAGATGACAATGAGGGACACTGGATATGGAGCTTTATGGGCACTAAAACCCGATCTCTAATCCACAGCGGGGTCTCCATACCTTCCCAGTCTTTCATGGTGAGGAGGAGGTAACTGGGAGAGTTAACTACCTGGAAAGGCGTCTGAAAAGTGCCCTATTTCTTCTCCCAGCCTCCCATAGAGCTTCAGGCTACCCACTGGCAACAGAGCTATGTTTTCCTGCCTCAGCGTCCCCACCTAAAGTCAACAAGGAAACAAACAATCCTGCCACTCTGTTAATCACCCACCCAAGGACCTTAGCACCAGGGGAGACCAGTTTAGACCTCAGCTGGTGACCGGGCAAGGTGGCTCATGCCTGTAATCCCAGCACTTTGTAAGGTCGAGGTGGCTGGATCACCTGAGGTCAGAAGTTTGAGATCAGCCCAGCCAACACAGTGAAACTCCATCTCTACAAAAAATAAAATAAAATTTAAAAAGTAGCCAGGCACAGTGGTGGGTGCCTGTAATCATAGCTACTTGGGAGGCTGAGGCAGAAGAATCACTAGTACCTGGGAAGTGGAGGTTGCAGTGAGTGGAGATATCACTGCACTCCAGCCTAGGCAAAAGCAAGACTCCATCTCAAAAAATAAAAAAAAGCTGGGCACGGTGGCTTACACCTGTAATCCCAATACTTTGGGAGGCCAAGGTGGGCGAATTGCAAGGTCAGGAGCTCGAGACCATCCTGGCCAACATGGTGAAACCCCATCTCTATAAAAATACAAAAAACAAACAAACAAAAAAAACAGCTGGGCATGGTGGCACACAACTGTAGCCCCAGTTACTTAGGAGGCTGAAGCAGAAGAATTGCTTGAATCCAGGAGGCGGAGACTGCAGTGAGCTGAGATCACGCCACTGCACTACATACAGCCTTGGGTGACAGTGTGATACTCTGTCTCAAAAAAATAAATAAATAAAAATAAAATAAAAAGCCTCACTTGGGCTAGCAGGCTGGGGGCTGGGTAGGGGTAAGAATCCCTCAGGCAGACTGGGCGCGGTGGCTCACGCCTGTAATCCCAGCACTTTGGGAGGCCAAGGCGGGTGGATCATGAAGTCAAGAGATCGAGACCATCCTCGTCAACATGGTGAAACCCCGTCTCTACTAAAAATATAAAAAATTAGCTGGGCATAGTAGCGGGTGCCTGTAATCTCAGCTACTCTGGAGGCTGAGGCAGGAGAATTGCCTGAACCTGGGAGGTGGAGGTTGCAGTGAGCCGAGATCGTGCCATTGCACTCCAGCCTGGGTAACAAGAGCGAAACTCCGTCTCAAAAAAAAAAAAAAAAAAATCTCCCAGGCACTCTAAGTAGACCACTAGCAACAGATCCTCTAACCAAAGTCCCCTCCTAGGCCAAGTTCCCTCTCCCACCCCACCCTCAATAGCATACTTCAGGGCTGTCTAGCACAGGAACCTGCCCAAGAAGGGCCACCTGTCTGGCCACCCCATGACAGCTAGGGGTGAGAAGCAACAGTCTTGGGGTGAGGTGGGGAGCAGACTGGAAAATCCAACTTTCCCCCAACTTTTCAGGGAGATGGGGCCAGGTTGGGACACTTGGGAACAAACTGTAGGGTCTTGGGTAAAGGAGAGGTGTAATTCAGGGGAACAACTTCAGAAGAGGGGAAATGTGAGGTCAGAGTAAAGGGGCCCAATTCATAGTCTTAGGAAATGCAAGTATGGGGAAAAGATTGCCCTGGACTGAGTCATTATTAGGCATCAATGACCAACCAGGACACTGTCAAACCGAAAAGTCTCTTTATTGATCGGTACCATACATGACTCAAATGGCCCAAAAAAAAAAAAAAAAAAAAAAAAATTACAGTTGGGGTGGGTTGTCCACCTTCCTCACCCCACCCCCTCAGCTCCTGACTCAATACCCTTCCAAAAATGGCAACTGGAGTGGAGGAAATAGGGTGTGGGGGACCCCAGAATCCAGAGGGAAGAGAGGTGGTGTTAGCACTTCCTGGGACTGGCCACAGGAAAAGGCAGCAAAGCCACAGAGCTGGCCCAGCCAAGTGGAACCCTGCTCCTGGATGCACCCTGGCCAAGCTGAGGATCCCAGCTGCCTCCTGCTCCTCCCTTCTACGAGGAAGGAGAGGCAGGGGATACTGACAGACGAAGACCGGCTACCTCAGATGGGGGTACAAAGGCCTGTTTTTCTCTGGGGGGCTTAGAGCCGGGACGTTCTCAGTTCAGTGGCTCCTTCCCCTCTGTGAAGGGCAGAGTAGGATTATATATGCAGTTGGAGGGGCTGAGGGAAGAGGGTTCCGGAGAAAAGTGGCCAAGCACCTCTCCCATCCCATGCCTGCCCAACTGAGACAAAACCAAAAATACAGCAACAAACAAGGCTGTTCCCTTCCCTCCACACTCCCCAAGGGAGGAAGCCTCTCCTCCCTGCATCCTAGACAACTGCTCTCATGGAGGACTCATAATGAATATGCACACCATGGGGGTGGGGCTGGAAGAGAGGGAGTCACGAGCACGAGGGAGGACAGGCCAGAGTCCAGAGGATGGAAAGACAGAGATAACATCAGGGGTTTATCACCAAAATGTGGCCACTGATGTCCCCTAACCCCATGGCATGCCTTCTCCAACTGCAGTCACCCCAGAGGAAAGGGGCAGAGAGATGGCAAAGTGTCTCCTTGGTCTGAAGCTCTCACACTGTATAAAATGGTATGCATACCCCCTCCCCCACTCTCACCCCCACCTGGGCCCTAGCCGCCCCCCCATCTGCCAAGAGTAGGGAGGTAGCTGGACTTTTAATAGGGGGAAAAGGGGGGACATGAATGATTTTTTTTAACTTACATTTTTAATAATATTATTTTTTAAAAAAACTTGGAGCTGGGATAAGTGGCAACAGGAAGGAGGGGCCCAGAGCTTTACCCCTCTATCACCAGCTGCCTAGGGGAAGGGGCATTCAACCAAGCCCCATAACTTTAAGTCCCTAAGGGCTGTGGGTACAGACAACCCCCAGGCTTGAAAGGAGTAAAGTCAGGGGGATGGGAAACCCAGAATCTGGGGTGAGGATGGAGGCAAATGCCCTGGGGGGTGGTCAGGACATTTCTCAGAGACCCAGGTTCCACGTAGGCATCCACGAGTACCCCCTTCCCCCAAAAGGCTCTGCAGAGGCCAGGCCCAGCCCAGGGCCACTGGGGGGCAAATCTTGGCACCTGCCCCCAGCGAGTCCAGTTCCTCCCTGAAGCAGGTGGATGAAGGCTGCCCATTTTAGATGCTCGGCCTCTTCATTCTGTCTTCTGCTTCCTGGGGCTTCGAGGGGTGGGACAGGCTGGCAGAGCGCTGGGTGGCCACAGCAAGGCCTTTTACTGGGAGGCCTGTGACGTAGGGTTCTCCGATTTGCTTTCTTGGCTGGACGGAGGCTTGCTGTTCCAGGGACTGTTGGCGCCCAGCGCAGGGGAGTTGTTAAAGCTGTCCTCGTCGTCAATGCCGTTGGCTGCGTCAAACTGGGTGTTCTCCAGCCGGGTGATGAGCCTCTCGTCCTCGTCCCCGAACTCCCCGCCCATCAGGGTGGGCTCCCCCACCACCATCACATCCTGAGAGTGGCGGAGGTCCCCAAACATAATCGGGGCAAGGGCTCGCCCGGCCCAGGGCGGCAGATACCCCCAGAGCCCCAATACCCACCCTGGAAGCTCAAGCGTCCCCACCCCCTCCTCACACCCAAATTAAAAACCCCAACTCCTGACACCCTCAGCTCCTGGAATCCTTCCCACTGAAGGACACCAGAGCATCACAGCCTTTAGCCCATATCCATTAAGTTCTATAAATCACTCTACTTCCCTAGCTCCCTAGTCCATCTCCCCAGAATTTTAGGGAACTCCTCAACTTCTGTCCACATGTAAGAGAAAGGGAGCAGATCAAAAACATGAGGGAGGGCCATGTGTGCATGGGCATGGGCGTATATTCTAGATCTGCAAACACTCCAGTCTTCATGTCTCTCTCAGTGTGAGTGTGAGCTGGATGGTACGTGAGCCCCAAGCTGTCTGTCCTCAACGTCCGTTATGTCCTCACGGCTGTCTCTGTCCCTTTATGCCCTAGCTTCCTACGGCTGAGTCTATGTGATCACAACCATGCAAGTCCCTGACAAGGACTCTCTCACCAGTAAAAGCGGTCAGCCCATGCTGGCAGAGTACATGAGAAAAACTGTCTTTTGCTTTTATGCCTGCTGTGAGCTCAGGCTTGGACAGGGGTCAAGGGTGAGTGGTGGGGCAGCCCAGAAGAGAGAAGAAAGCCGAGATGCTTACAGGTACCTGGCTGGAGAGGGCGAAGGTGCTAGCTGGGCTCTTCTTCTTGCTGTTGCTGTTGTTGGTATTGCCACCCCCCGAGCTCATGGTGCTGCCCCCTGACATCTTCCGTTTCCGCCGTTTGCTGGGCTGCTGACGTGTGGGCTCCGCTGTGCCGGGGAAAGGAGACTCAGATGGGAGAGTGTCCTGGGTCCCCTATTTTCCACTGTGGCTCCCAAGGAGCATGAGCCTGCCCTGATCCCAATTTTGTAGACCCAGGAGCAAGGAAGGGGCAGGGAAAAGTTCAAAAGGAAATAAAGATACAGCTTTGGGGAGCAGTGTGAGATCTTGGTAAGAACAGGCGCAAGCACTCACCGGGGGGTGCTACCATGCGCTGCCACTTCTGGAAAAGGCAGGTCTTGAGGCAGTCACGGGGGCTGAGGCTGTAGGTCTTGTGGCGGGACATGAGCTCCTGCATGGGCTCGAGTATCACACAGAGCTAGGGGTAGACCAGGAGGTGGCTTGTCAAGGGACAGACATGGAGCTGAGACTAAATGGACTGGGGCAGAAACTGGGTGCTTGGAGACTCACTCGGAGGTAGTTGAGAGTAGAATTGGACAGCCCACACCGGGTGATGTTTTTGGAGAGCTGATCCAACATTTGGGGGTCTTGGGCCTAGAGTGGGAGAAAAGACAAGCAAGAACACTGACACCTGGGTTTCCTCTGCTCATCTGCCTTATCATGAGAGCACTGTGACACTCCTGAGAGAGGACAGCCTCTTATTAAAACTGCTGTTCAGATGAAGAAACCCTAACCCTGTCTAAGGTCACAGAAAATGGCAGGCCTCATTCCACCCCTCCCCCGTCTGCTTTCACTCTTTCAGCCTGATTCCTGTTCAAAACTCACATGCATGGCAAGGATGCTGCGGGGGATGAGCTCTCGATGCTGCCGGATGCTGAAGTGCCACGTCTTTATCCGCATCATGTCGTCAAACATGAACTCCAGGTACAACCGGCCCTCCACACATACCTGGGGACAGGCTTGTCACAACCCTGCCCCCTCCCAACATACCATACCTGAAATATGTCTATTACAATCTCCCATTTGCTTACAACTCTCCCACTGCATACACTTTTGTCACCTGCACATTAAATCTGGGTGCAGCAACCCCCACCCATATACCTGGCCTGTACACACACACGACACATGCGCAGACACACCCACGTACACACACACACACACACACACACACACACACACACAGACAGTAGAAAAGCTTAACAGATCTTGTCCTCTCCCCATGCAGCTAGTGATATACCCATCTGCTCTAAGCTATGTGAGGGCAGACTCTTGTTCACTTGTGTAGCCCTGGGGCCCAGAAAACTATCTCATATAAACGCAATACATGTTTGCTTGACGGCTGCAACCCTCCCTTCTTATTTTGTCACTTCACATTATGGCTCCCCGGGGAACAGCTGTGAGTATAAACTAGGAGAGAGACAGGGAATCAAACCCAGGTGCCATGGCGTTCCATATCCAGCTGGGTTGCTGACCTGGGTGAACATGGGCTTGCCATGCTGGGTCACCATGCTGCCCTGGTCACAGTCGAGGGACACAAAGTTGCTGTGGAATGCCTCCTTGGGGTGCTTAAGCACATAGTACAGCTCCGTAGCACCCCCCTCAAAGATACTGCGGAAGTAGCGTGGGATCAGGGTCCGGCCAATGGCTGCAGAGATGGGACAAACTCTTCAGGACAAAGGGACTTCAAAAGGGGCCAGGCAGATGCCTCCCCTACCAAGCTAGACATCCCCTGGCACTCCCAGACCCACTTCCAGACCTTAGAACTACACAGGAGGTATACACCCTGACAGAAAGACCCCAGAGGCCACTTACTATATCTCTTTGGTCCATCCTCCAGGCAGAAAGTGATGGTCAACATGGCATCATCCTCAAAGAACTCAGTCGTGAAAGCATCCCACCAGAGATTGTCACACTCCTAGAAGCATGGTGAGATGTATGTGTTCACGTGTCATAAGCTATCCCATGGGGTGCCCAGATGGCCCTCCTGCTCCCAGCCCATTTTCCCTTGGCCATACCTCTGTCCAGTTCTGAAGGCGTTTGTTAAGCTCAAATATTCTGTAGTCCGTTTGGTTGCCATATGGTGTGTGCCTCCTGGAAGAAGTGAAGGAGGGAGGTTAGTAGGAGCAGAGCCTCCCTACCCCACCCCCACCTCAGCCTTCTCCCAGTGGAAAGCACCTTCCTCCCCACTGGACTCCACTTACCCAATCCCTGGCTCCAGGTATGTAGGCGGGTACATGGGAGTTGGGCTGTGTAAAGGAAGAGGCTATGAGAATGAGGGTGGAAGATAGGAATTATTGGGGGTGGGGGGCTACTCCCTCCCCTTTCCAAGCAGGATCCCACCTGGAGAAGGGTTAGGAAGTGGCCAACAGACTCACTCACCCCACATCCCGATCCAGCATGGTGCCGGGATGGAAGGGGGGGAAGGCGTTGCCGTTCGGGGGCTCCTTCGGCGAGTACAGCTTGAATGACTTTGAGGAACAACCTGGAAGACAAAGAAAGGAGTCATAGGCGGGTTTGGTGGTTCACGTCTGTAATCCTAGCACTTTGGGAGGCCAAAGCAAGAAGACTCCTTGAGCACAGGAGGTCAAGGCTGCAAGGACGAGTGTCATAGCGAGACCTCACAACCAGCCTCATAGCAAGACCCTGTCTCTAAAAATAATTTTAAAAGTTAGCTGGGTATGGTGGCGCATGCCCATGGTTCCAGCTACTTGGGAGGCTGAGGAGTGAGGATCGCTTGAGCCCAGGAGTTAGAGGCTGCAGTGAGCAGAGATCATACCACTGAACTTCAGCCTGGGCAACAGAGTGAGACCCTGTCTCTCAAAGAAACAGGAGCCCCGTCACTCCCTTTTGGGAGCTCTTCGATAAGCCTGCTAGACTGTGTAGTTAGGGACTGGTCTCATGGCACTCCCTGGCCTGATTACGAGAAAGTGACGGACTAGGGGGCAGCTACCCTAGGGATCACCAGTCTAAACCCGGCTGTACCCAAGATCCTATTTCTTAATTTGGCTGAGTCCTAGACGACAGAAGAGGAATTGAAGCTGGGAAGAATTATCACAGAATAAATAAATATCCAAACACTAGAATATAATTTTGATAAACCCCCTTTTAATCTAAGTAGTTTCATCAAATCAAATCATCATCATAACCTTATGAAGTTTCAGGGCTGACCGTAATATTCCCATTTTACAGATGAGGCAACGGAGGGCTCAAAGGAACTTGCCAAGATCATAAAGCTAGTAACTGTCAAAACTAGGACTTGAGCTCCGATCTTCTGATTCCCACATCCTACAGCATTTCTACCAGCTGATCCCTCTATTGCCCTCTAGAGACCAAAGTGGGGGAGGAACAGGGGGAATTTTCTAACTGCCCCTCCTCCAACCTCAGGGTCTTGGAGGGCAAGTGATAGAAAGATAAATGGGGGTGGGTGCTTGTTGGGTGCCGCCTACCAGATAACCAGTTGGGCCTTCTGCAGCCCCACTAACGGCCACTCGCTTATCAGCCCAGCCCCTACCCCCATCCCTACCAAGGGTAGAGTATTGTCTGCAAACCAGAAACCCAAAAGTCTCAACCCCTTTTCTCTTTTGAGTTTTGGAGTACGGGAGGCAGGCAGATGAATCTCCTTTGGATCCCACTCTACCTACAATTGAAAAGTAGGTGGTTCGGGAACTATGTCCCTCAGTCTAGGGACAAGTGGTCACTCGACAGGGGTCTCGCTAGTGTGTATCTGGGCATGTGCACATGTCCTCTCTCTCACCTCACCTAACAGCAAACAGTTCCTGGAAAACTATTTTCTGACAGGGAGAAGTGTTAAATTCATACTTGGGTATGCCCCAGGTACCTCTGCAACTGTTCCCCCTTCTCTGAGAAGGGGAACAGAACCCAAGCTCTGGGTCCCTTCTCTGAGAGGGGGAAATAGTTGCAGAAGTACCTGCGGCATACTCAAGGAGAAGAAATTGAGGCACAGTCCAAAAGTTCATCTGACTCCAATCGCATTTGCTTCCTTGGGTCCCTAAAACTGGACTGTATTTGGGAGGGCAGCTGGATTGACTGTATCTATGTCCCCTCCCCAACTTAGATGCAAAATCTATTTTGTTCCTTGGGGGGAAGAGACAAAAGACGACCCTGTGCCAACATGTGTCATTTAATTCTCTCCCCAGGGCCTTGTCCTCACGATGCAGGCAAAAGGAAGGTCCCAGACTGCACAGTCCCTGAAGGTGCCAAGAGTCAGAGCCTGTGTGTGCCTGCACACACGTGTGCTTCATCCTGCCTAGCAGGCTTCCACCCTCAGCTCGCCCCAACATGCCTATCAAGGGCTGGAACCCAGCAGCCCCAGGCAGAATCAGAGTGCCCCCAACAGGCCCTCACCCCATGCACAAGCTCTCACGGGCCACGTCCACATGCTCCAAGAACAGCACACACAGTCTTCACATGCCAGTCTGTACTGAGCTTGTGTCTCCAGAAAGAGACAGTCCCCACCAAGCCACCAAGTATCCCCACTCCAAAGACAGGTAGACTAAGGCCACACAGGAAGCTCAAGCTCACACAGCCCACCAGAGGCCAGGCCTGGGCAATGAACCCAAGAGCAGATTCTCAGACCTGGCCCTCATCCTCCAATTAGGCCATCCTTTCTCCCACAGCCTAACCACCCCTGCCTCCTCCGTTTTGAGGCCACTTGAAGAAATGTGTTAGCTCAAGAACCTGAAGAGAAGGGAAGCAGGACGCCTGGGTTTCTCGACAGTTTTGAAAAAAAAAAAAAGTCTCAGAGCCTTCCTTTCTCTCTCTAGAGAATGAAGAGGCATTGTCTGAAACTGGGTAAACAGCTCTAAGGAGCTAAAGCCCGACGCTCTGGGCCTCTATTTGCTCCTCCAGTGAATGGACACAAACTCAGCATCCCTCCAGAGCCACAACAACTCCCAGTAGCCCCAGCACAAGAGCTTGGGAGTGAGTAGAGAAGGGGAGGGACATCACCCAGACCATCTGTCCCTGTTGCTGCCTGTCCCCAGCAGCAGGGGTAGAGGGAGCAAGGTGGGGAGCGGGGGGGGGGGGGGGGGGGGGGGAGGGGAGATGTGTCATCCAGCCCTAGAGACAGCCATAGCCCCCTTCCCACCTCTAGCAATCTGGAAGCCTTCAGGAAGGGGGAGAGAAGAGCCCAGAACTAGTAAAGTTTTCTCAGGGAGGAAGCTGCATCTGGGGCTGAGGGGGGGCACCTCCAGCTGGGCATTGTCATGGTAACCAGGCTGACCTGAGGGCAGGCCCCCTCCTTTAGGGGCTGGCCACAGGTCAGCAGGCCTGAGCACCCCGGCTGCTCTGAGCTGGGGCACCTCTCCCCCAGCCAGCAGACCAGGCCCGGGCCAGGCTGAGGGCCTTCCGCCCACCCCCAGCAGGCTTGCAGGGTGCCCAGACTTACCTGGGAGAACTGAGGGGGCCAGGAGAGGTGCGGGGAGCGGCTGCAAGCCCAGAGGGGTCCTGGCAAGGGTGAGGGCTGAGGGGGGACAACTTCAGCCGCTCATGTCCCGAGTGGGACGGGCAGGCCCGGTTGGGAGCTCCACTCCGCCGGCCGCACAAAGACTCGCACGCACAGCCTCAGCCAGCCCCGCGGCGGCCGCAGCCCCGGGGGAAAGTTACAATGGCCACTGGGCCAGGGGCCGGGGGCCAGGGGGCCGGCCTGGGGGGCGGGGGGCCGCGGGGAGTCCGGAGCCTTCTTTGTTTGCAAGGTTTCCCTCAACAATGGCTGCTCCGCTCTTTCCTCTCTCCTCCTCCTCCTCCTCTGCTTTCCCCGCCGCCGCCTCTCGCTGCCTCTGCCTCCGAGCAGCCCACCCGCCCTCCCCAGGCCACCGGGCCCCTCTGCTGGGGGCACCAGGAGAGGCAGGGCCCGGCACTCACACTCACTCACACTCGCACACTCAGACACACACAGCGCCCGCCGGCTGCCTGCCTTTCTCCCTTTCTCTCCCTGCCTCCCTCCCTCCCTCCCCGCTCGCTCTCTCCGAGCCTCGCTCAGAATGAGGCCCCAGGGCGGGCGGAGGGTGGAGCTGCCCCCACCGGCCCCGCCCCCTCCCTGCGAGGAAAGAGGAAGAGCGAAGGAGGGGAGGGAGGCTGGGACGGAGGGACTGCTGAGAAAAACAAAAGAGAGATAGAGACTGGGAGAGACGGGACGGATCAGACTGGGCTGAGAGAGACCTGGATGGAGGAGAGGCCTGTAGGGGCCAGGAACGAAATGCAGCCCGCCTCCTCCCAGCCCCAGGCACGGTGCTCAGGAGCGAGCACGGGGGCCAAAGCCACTCGCACAGATGGAGGAGTGTGGGCTCCTCTCTGCAGACTCCAAGATCTTCAAAGCACCTCCCAAACCTCTCTTCCTCGCCCCTGTGATGGCTCAGGTTGAAGGCTGGCCCGGGCTGCCACCCTGGGCTCCCCTGGTGAAATCCCGGAGCAGATGGGGGGAGGCTCCAGGGGGTTATTTTTGACAGAGACACATTCTGACATCAGCCAGTAAATACTGATTGAAGAGGGGGACACTGCAGTCTTCCCTGCCCCCAACCCAGCTAAGTTCCAAGCCTTGACTTAGATACCTCTTAAAAGGAAGCCCCCTTCCCCACCACTACCACTGAAGACGAGTGGGTGCCAGGGAAAGATACATTGTCAGAGCTAGGGAAAGCCAACTTGGCCATCCAAGAGTTCCCAGAAGGAGCCTAGTTTGCTGCTGAATCCTCCCCACCGCCCCAGAAAAAAAAGGTATATGGTTAGTGGGTAGGGTCTGTACTCCCATCCAGCAGGGGCATCCCAAGGGAGCAGGTATTGCTATTTTTTTCCTAAGGTAATTTTGTTGCAGCAGGAGCAGGTATTTCTAAAACTTGTGTAGGGCTCCAGGCCCTGCTCTTGGACAGATAGGAAAAGGAAAACAGTACACGTATGTACACACACACACACACACACACAAGGGAAGGCTGGGCACGAACTTTCTATTTCCTTCTTTGCAATTTGAGTGTCTGCTTCTCTACTCCCTGTCCCTGCCCCCAACTATATTCACACATAACTCCAAGGACAGGATTTCTCATGACATACTCACTAGTTAACTGTGCAATAATATTGCACCTGGCTCTGTGAACATCTTCCACATAAATAACACATCTCACTTTCACATAAATCAGTACCTGATACACATTTCATACTGTGATATCTCTTTTTTTTTTTTTTTTTTTTGCCTGAGACGGAGTCTTGCTCCATTGCTTAGCCTGGAGTTTAGTGGTGCGATCTCGGCTCAGTGCAACCTCCACCTCCCAGGTTCAAGTGATTCTTCTGCCTCAGCCTCCCGAGTAGCTGGGATTACAAGTGTGTGACACCATACCCAGCTAATTTTTGTATTTTCAGTAGAGACAGGGTTTTGCTATGTTGGCCAGGCTGGTCTCGAACTCCTGACCTCAGGTGATTCACCAGCCTTGGTCTCCCAAAGTGCTAGAATTATAGGTGTGAGCCACCGCGTCTGGCCATCAGCCTATGATATATCTCAAATCCTAAATATACCCAAATCCTGGACACACACACACACACACACACACACACACACACAGAGTCTAAGTCATACACCACACTGGGACCTATGACACTTAGGCATCCTGACCTTAATACAGACACAAAAACTGTGTTATAACCCCTAATCCTGTGACAGCCTATCACATACACACCCCGATCATTTATTATGCAAGGACTTAACCTAGAAATCACCCTCTGAAACCTGCGTACCATTCCTCATCAAAGCCTGGCCATACGATAAACCTCAGCTTTCACAAACATACTGAAATGTATGACATTCAGCCAGACTGCAACATATAGCCTATCACCAGGACTTAAGACATTCCCACTGACTCTCAAATTTATAGCTTGGGTAGCCCCACTTCTCCCCCACTGCCTTTAAACTTTCCAAAGTGCATTCACAGGCAGTACCTCAAGAGATCCTCATAGTATATAGGGCCAAATACCCTAACAGTGAGATTCTAACAGATCTCACTGAGACAAGATGACTGGGGTGGGTTGGGGGCGTGGGTTGAACCCTGCACTTCTAAACCCACTGGATATAAGCCAAGCCCTGCAGCCATTCCTATTCCCTTCCCCCTCCAGGCCTCAAATCACTGTCCACATGGGGAGGAGGGTATGAGCTCTGGCTTCTGCCTCCAGCCCAGAGCTCAGAACCCCCATCTAGCCTGTCTCCTCAGACAGGAGGAACTACAACGGCCCTCCAGTCTCACTGTGGGGTGGAGGAGCCCCTAAATGCCAAGATGTATCAAGACTGGCAAATCATTTAAAACAGGCTTTCTCCTAGTTCTCCTTCTCCAGCAAGTCTGCTCCTTTCTCTGCTCTGACCCGATTCACCCAGTGGCACAGGGGCAGAACAGGTCCAGCTAAAAAGAGCAAATCTGAGTTACAAGGCCTTAGAATTAGTGGTGAGGTGGAGGGAGCAGCAAAGAATGACAAAGATGATGAGGGAACGTACTCCTCCTGGAGGTGGGGACTCAAAGGACAGCCGCCTGCCCCAGCCCACAGGATGATGTACCAGCACTGCCCCCTGCCTGGGCCCCTGGGGCTCCCTGACCCAGGCCTCCAGTGTGCCTGCCCCCCTTCCTTTGTCTGTGCCCGGCCTCCCGTTGGCCTGGCGCTCTGCCATCCTCCTCTCCTGGCTCCCAGCCGCCACCACTGCTGCCTCCTCCCCTCCCCCTACTCCTCCCTGCCTTAACCCTTCTGAGCCACAGGCTGCCCCAGACAGGCCCTAGCCCCCTCAGCATCTTGCTCAGGGTGATGCCCTTAGCAGACGCTCTCCCTGTTCTCAGCCATTCCAGCCCCAGAAGCTGGTCCTCACCCCAGGAGCACTATGGGAGCTGGGCGTGTATATGTGTGTATCTTGTGGTGTTTCTGCGTGTGCATGTGTGTGGGTCTGTGTGCGCTCTGGCTTCCCTCAGTCACATGTGTGGGGCATGTGCTGTCTCTGCCGGGCTGGGGGAGGAGGAGGAGCCCGGAGACAGCAGAGCACAAAGGAGAGACTCAGACAGACAGGCAGGCAGGCAGGCAGGCGGCAGGCGGCCTGCCAGGGCACCTCAGCCCTCACCCCAGGGCTGCTCAAGGTGGGGGAAGTCTTCGGGCCTGGACTGCTACATGCTGCCAGGCGGCCCTCGTGTTCAAGCATGTGCTTCCCTCACCCAAGCAAGCCGCAAGTTGGGTCCCCTCTCTAACCCCAACTGCTACTATTCCCCACCTCCACTCTATTCTCAAGCCCCTCCCTGAGTGGTTCTCTTTGAAGTCTAACCTCCATCCAACCTCTATGGCATCAATCTATAAGACTTCTTCACGATCTGGAAAAAGACTCCCTACTCTTCCCTATCTTTTGCCCCCTCTCCCTCCGTCAGACCACTAGACACAAAAGGAACATGTCTTCTGGGGCACTGACTGAAGTTGTCTCCTCACCCACCCACATACCCCTGGGCTTGGGCCCTCTTCCTTTTCCCATGCTGCTCCAGGAGACTAAGAAGGAGAGACTTTATCTCTCCTCCCACTAAACCCAGGCACCCTGCCCCAACTTCAGGGCCAACCTCCCATGCACCTCCAGCCTGACAACCCCTCCATACATACATATCCCCTTACCCAATATTTGTAGGAACTAAGAATCAAAATTTAAGACTCATCCCTCTAGCTTGTTCAGATCCTTAATTTTTGCTCTGCCCTGGGGTGGGCTAAGAACATGATGGATCCGAACCAGGTACCCAGCATGGGGCAATCATAGGAGAGAAAATACACACATATAAACATGTACACTAAACTGGTAGGAGGAGGGATGATGGGGCCAGGCAGGATTCCAGCTTGGCAAGCTCTTGCCTCTCCTTTCCTCAACTCTCTGCAGCACCAGCTAGTGGTTCCCAAACCCGGATATTCTAGGATTCTTAGGTTCCCTTAGCCTTCCTTCTGGGTCCCATGCCCCTTAAACATCAGCCTCAGCAGGCACCTGAAGTGTGTGCCCAGCCCAGCTTGGCCTGGGTCACATGATTTTCAAGGAAGCTTCCTCACTGGTAGCTTCCCCTTGGGGATTTGTGGGGGAGTGGGGGGTGTCCAGTTGTGAAGTATGTAGCCAAACCAGGCTACATTCAGGGACACTGACTTCCAAGAGAAAGCTGACTCCAGTCTGGGGCAGAAGGGCCAATTCCAGGACCCTGAGTCCTGGGGCTGGAGACAGACACGGTGCTGTGAGGCCCTCTGTAGACTACCTCTCCAGGCGCATGGCTGCTCCCTTTCCTCCTGGCAGTGAGGTAGACCCACCCAGCCCCACCAGAAAAAAATCTCAGACCTAGGCTATCCCTGGCAAAAGTTGACATGTGTTTTGAGGAGGCAGGGATCTGAGCCTGGGTCCTCTCTCAAGTTCTCAGTTTGGGGCCAAGAATTGCTCCCCCAGCTCACCTCTCCACAAATCACTCTATTTCCTAGACTGCCCTCCCACTAGGGCAGAGATGCCAGACCCAAGAGTCTAATTATCTGGCACCTCTTAGGAGTACCTCCAGTGCCTCAGGAGGGCCAAACCTTCCCTGGCAACAGGCAGGAAAAGTTGAAGGAGGGCAAGATGGGCCCTAATCAACTACCTCCCTGCAAACAGGGTCCTCATTAACAGCATGGGGGGAATGTCACAGGATAGGTAAGAGGCAATGGGCAGCAGACAAGCGGGGGCAGCCCAAACCAGCCAATCACAACTCTATGGTGACCTGAGGGGGGGGTCAAAAGTCCAGAGTCACTTCTGATTGGCTTACAACCTGGAATTCTGAGAATTTCAGCCCCCCCAAACCTCTCACCAATTAGCCTCCCCCCAAAAAGACATACACATAAGCCACCCCTGGCGTCTCCTTCCCGTGCCTCTGAGCTGCTACGCATTTATACAGTTGGGGAAAACCCTACCCGCCGGCCTCAGGCCCCGCGTAGCCCTTCCAGCCCTCGGCCTCCCCCATGCCATCGACGCCCCCCCACACAAGTTCTCGCCAAACACGGGGTGAGGGGTCCGCGGGGAGAGTTGGGCAGGGAGGGGCCGGGTGGCCGCGCGCCCCACTCACCAGGACAGGCACAGCCCACTGACATCTTCACATCGCCCGCCGCTGGGGACCCAGCCGAGTCACGGTGCCCGCCCCTCGAGGGGACAGGCCGGGCATGAGCCGCCGCCGCCGCCCGCGGCCCCCGCTGCCCGCCCGGCCCGGCTTCGGCCCGGTTTCGGCCCGGTGCGGGCGGCCCCTGGCTGCAGCGAGGGGCCTGTCAGGCGCGGAGCAGACAGGAAGGAAGCCAGGCAGGAAGGCGAGCGGCCTCTGCGTGTGTGCGCGCGGGTGTGCGTCCGCGGAGTGTGTGTCCGTGTGTGCGCGTGTGCGTGTGCGTGTCTGTGCGCTCCCGCCGCCCTCCCAGCCGCCGCCGCCGTAGTCGTCGTCGCCGAGCGCCCCCCTCTCCGCCCTGGCGTTCGCGCTCCCTCGCGCCGGCGCCGGCTCCCCAGACCGAGCCGGGCAGGGCCGGGCTTTATTAATATGCTAATTGTCCTGCTAGTGGGAGGGGAGAGCCGTGTCAAAGTGACCCGGGAGAGCGCGCAGCAAGCGACGACGTGCGTGCGCCGCGCGACGGGCGGGCGGCGAGGGGCCGCGAGCGCTCAGGGAACGGCATGCATGTGACGCAGCTTTTAAAAAAGGAGACGGAGGCAGAGACCCCAGAGAGGGAGGGCGAGGGGGAAGGCGAGGGGGAGGGCTCGGAGGCGCAGCCGAGCGCTCGGTGTCGGTCCTCCGGGTGCAGCCGGGTGGGGAGCCTGGCTGAGCCGGAGCGGGAGCCGCGGCTAGGGAAGGCGGAGCCGGGGTGGGCAGTGAGGTGTAGCTCTCTCCACCGCGGGCAGCGCTCTAGGAGGGGAAAGGGACTGCCGACCCCCTGCTCGTGCTCCCTGCTGAGATGCCAGCCTTCTTCTAGAGGCCCCTTGTTTCGCGTCCCTACCCTAAACTGGGTGGGCAAAAAAGCATTCTCTTAATTCTTGTAGCAACCCCCCAACTCACCCCCTCCCTAAATTAACCACTCCTCCTTTGCCTGCGAAACCAGTTGGGACTAGAACTAAAAGGGTTAATTAAGTGGGGTCCCCGCCCTCCTCCGCCTAAGGGCTTGGGATCTGCGTTTTGCTGGGGGTGGCGGAGAGGCTGAGGAATAACCACCAGATTGGATTACGGAGGGGCAATACGAGGCCATCCTTCCTCTTTACCGACTGACGCAGCAGTCAAGATACTCTCCTCCCTTTCCCCTTTCTCCAGCCTTGGCGCCTTCACCTCCGTACCAACCCCCCCCCCCACCACTGCCTCCGACCCCCCTGCCTGGAAGCTGCTCTCCTTTGAGGGCTTCGGAGATGAGAACAGGAAACAGGCCCTTCCAGTGCCCCCTAACCCAGAGAGGCAGAGGCTGTGGGCCGTGGGGGGTTGGCGGGGAGATGATATGGATGGCCAATATAAGGAACACTCCTTCCCCAAGGAGGAGCCTCCCAACCTTCAGTCACAATTCAAGGACTCCCCAACCCAGCCCTAGGAGGGGAGGGGCTCCATCACCATTTCTTCCCAAAAGCTCAGCTTTAGCTGCCTTATAAACAGGAAATACCTATTAGCCTGGAGGAGGGAAGGGAGGGAGCCGCCTGGAGTAAGAGAGTTGACCCCCTCCCTCCTGGGGTCCCCAGCTGCTAGTTTTTCTTTAAGCTTCATCATGGGCTCCAGGGATAAAGGTTGGGGACTTTGACTAGTGCCTCCTCCCTAGGGCATCTGGCCTAGACTGGATAGGGGGTTCTTCTCTTTGTTACTTAAAGGGGTGTTGGTTGAGAAGGCTGTTTGGTTCCCTCACTCTGGCTGAGAGTCTGCACGGCTGGCTTGACTGGCTGGGGGAGGGTTACAGATGCAGAGGCTTAAGTGTTTATGAAACCTCTTCTCTCCACCTTAGGTTTTTGCTGAGGGAGCATGAAATGATGGAAGGGTGCAGAGTTGGAGGATTGAAAAGAAGGCCTGCCTAGGAATGGAGACCCTCTCTACCATGTGCTTAGGATGGGGGAGGAGGAGCTCTACATTGTGGATTCTCCCACCCCCAAGTTTCCCCATCCCCACCCCCACCAGGAGCAGAGAGGACCTGACTGAAGCCATCCACACTCACACAAGTATCTCCTTGGCAGCATCCCCTGACTGAGTGCACCCCCTCCCGCATTCTCCCAGACAAAGGTCAGCACTAGAGGGAGTAGAGAAAACCTAAGACAACAGAACATGGGCCTGGAATTGTGGATACCTAGGTTTGTATTGAATGTAAGCTTCGCTCCACACTAGCTGAGTGATTGCAGACGACTGACCACCCCACTCGGAGCACTAGCTTTATCCTCTGCCATTGGTATCTATGACTTGGTGAGAATCAAACTAGACAATGTACACCCAGTCACCTAGTCCAGCATCAGCCAGGTAGTCCTGCAGATATGTGTTCCTTTCTCTTCTGTACGAAGATCTTCTAAAAATGAAAAAAAGATAGAAAAAGAAAAATATAGCCGGGCGCCGTGGCTCAAGCCTGTAATCCCAGCACTTTGGGAGGCTGAGGCGGGTGGATCACGAGGTCAAGAGATCGAGACCATCCTGGTCAACATGGTGAAACCCCGTCTCTACTAAAAATACAAAAAAATTAGCTGGGCATGGCAGCGCGTGCCTGTAATCCCAGCTACTCAGGAGGCTGAGGCAGGAGAATTGCCTGAACCCAGGAGGCGGAGGTTGCGGTGAGCCGAGATGGCGCCATTGCACTCCAGCCTGGGTAACAAGAGCGAAACTCTGTCTCAAAAAAAAAAAAAAAAAAAAAAAAAAAAGAAAAGAAAAATATAGGCCGGGCGCGGTGGCTCAAGCCTGTAATCCCAGCACTTTGGGAGGCCGAGGCGGGTGGATCACGAGGTCGAGAGATCGAGACCATCCTGGTCAACATGGTGAAACCCCGTCTCTACTAAAAATACAATAATTAGCTGGGCACGGTGGCGCGTGCCTGTAATCCCAGCTACTCAGGAGGCTGAGGCAGGAGAATTGCCTGAACCCAGGAGGCGGAGGTTGCGGTGAGCTGAGATCGCGCCATTGCACTCCAGCCTGGGTAACAAGAGCGAAACTCCATCTCAAAAAAAAAAAAAAAAAAAGAAAAATATAAAGAAAGATATGTGTTCCTTTCTCCCCCTTTTTTTTTTTTTTTTTAAGATTATCTAATTCCAAGAGAGTCAGGAGGGGGCTGGATTGGCAGGACAATTTGAGATGATGTGGAGGAGGGGGAATACCTGCCTTGACCACCGGCTCTCTTCTGTTCATGAATTTGCCTTCCCCCAATCCTGTGTCCACTTACCCCTAAGGCCACTTATTCCAAACAACTAGCTTGGTCAGATTCCATGGTGATCAACACAATGGTGATCACCTGGGTGGATAAGGGGGATTACAACCCACTCTTTAAAACAGGCGTCCCCAAACTACGCCCAGCGGGCCGCATGCGGCCCCCTGAGGCCATTTATCCGGCCCCCCGCCGCACTTCAGGAAGGGGCATCTCTTTCATTGGTGGTCAGTGAGAGGAGCACAGTATGTGGCGGCCCTCCAGCGATCTGAGAGACAGTGAACTGGCCCCCTGCGTAAAAAGTTTGGGGACGCCTGCTTTAAAAGGTCTTTGCCTCCTGTGAATCTGAGATTTCCTTCTTCTAAATTACACGTGTGGAAGGTAGGTTAGGAAGGAAGAAAAAACTGCCTTAGTTGAGCATGCACTAGTGCCAGGCAGTGCACTAGGCCTTTTACACCTGTTGACTCATTTACCTTGCTTGAAGACCTTTGGAAGAAGGTGCTATTACCTCCATTAACAAGTAGGAAAACTGAAGTTCAGAGATGATAATAAATTTAAACTTGCCTGCAAAACACTGTTCTCCCTCTTCTTCACCTACTAGTTAATGGTTCCTTAACACCTTAGTTCTAGCTTCACCTTCTCTGGGAAGATTGCCTCTCTCACTCCCACTGACACTATAGCCTATTTAGTGGCCCAGTTACCGGTAAGAAAATAGCATCTAAATACTGTTGAATGGGTGGTTAAAATAAGTGATTGGGCTGAGCTAGGTGGCTCACACCTGTAATCCCAGAACTTCAGCAGGCCAAGGTGGGTGGATCACCTGAGGTCACCAGCCTGGCAAACATGGCAAAACTCTGTCTCTATTAATAACACAAAAATTAGCTGGGCGCAGTGGCCCATGCCTGCAATCCCAGCTACTCGGGAAACTAAGGCAGGAAAATCACTTGAACCCCAGAAGGCAGAGTTTGCAGTGAGCCAAGATCCTGCCATTGCACTCCAGCCTGGGCGACAAGAGCGAAACTCCATTTCAAAAAAAAAGGTGATTGAGGCTTCTAGAGGAATTCCACTTAGGGAAGTTAGGTAACTTGGCTAAGATAACAGAGCTAACAAGCACTTGACCCAGTGCTTCACTCCTTGCATTACTTCTAGTGTGAATCAAACCTGGAGAGGGAGAGGAGAACATCTTTGGAGCATCTCTGGGAATTGTGGTATAGGCAAGAATAGGGCTGGGCACGGTGGCTCATGCCCACAATCCCAGCACTTTGGGAGGCTGAGGTGGGCAGGTTACCTGAGGTCAGAAGTTCGAGACCAGCCTAACCAACATGTAGAAACTCCATCTCTACTTAAAAAAATACAAAAAATTGGCCAGGCGTGGTGGCTCGTGCCTGTAATCCCAGCACTTTGGGACGCCAAGGCAGGTGAATCACGAGGTCGGGAGTTCGAGACCAGCCTGACCAACATGAAGAAACCCCATCTCTACTAAAAATACAAAGTTAGCTGGGCTTGGTGGTTCATGCCTGTAATTCCAGCTACATGGGGGTCTGAGGCAGGAGAATCGCTTGAATCCAGAAGATGGAGGTTGCAGTGAGCCGAGATCACCCCATTGCACTCCAGCCTGGGCAACAAGAGCAAAACTCCGTCTCAAAAAACTAATAATTAGCCAAGCATAGTGACGCATGTGTGCAATAGCTATTCGGGAGGCTTAAGTAGGAGGATCACTTGAACCCGGGAGGTGGAGGATGCATTGAGCTGAGATCTTGCCATTGCACTCCAGCCTGGGCAACAAGAGGAAAACTCCGTCTCAAAAATAAAAGAGAAGTCACAGAAACCTGGCAGACAGAGGTGGAGCCTATGTGGAGGGAGGGTCTTCAACTTAATGACAATACCCTGGAGGACTGGAGGCTTAGCTGATTCGTATAGATGCGTATAAGTGCCCGGTATTCTCTCTGTGGGTATAGTAAAACTCACATAACATAAAATTAACTTTTTTTTTTTTTTTTGAGACAGTCTTGCTCTGTTGCCAGGCTGGAGTGCGGTGGTGTGACCTCAGCTGACTGCAACCTCCACCTCCCGAGTTCAAGAGATTCTCCTTCCTCAGACTCCCGAATACCTGGGACTACAGGCATGGCACACCATGCCCAGCTATTTTTTTTTTTTTTTAAAGTAGAGTCAGGGTTTCATCACGTTGGCCCAGATAGTCCCGATCTCTTGATCTCATGATCTGCCCGCTTTAGCCTCCCTAAGTGTCAGGATTACAGGCATGAGCCACAGCATCCGGCCCAAATTAACCATTTTTAAAGGATCAATTCAGAGACATTCTGGCTTTTTGTTTATTTCTTTTCTTATTTTATTTTATTTATTTATTTATTTTTTTGAGACGGAGTTTCGTTCTTGTTACCCAGACTGGAGTGCAATGGCACGATCTGGGCTTACCGCAACTCTGCCTCCTGGGTTCAGGCAATTCTCCCGCCTCAACCTCCTGAGTAGCTGGGATTACAGGCACGTGCCACCATGCCCAGCTAATGTTTTGCATTTTTAGTAGAGATGGGGTTTCACCGTGTTGACCAGGATGGTCTCAATCTCTTGACCTCGTGATCCACCCGCCTCAGCCTCCCAAAGTGCTGGGATTACAGGCTTGAGCCACCAAGCCCGGCTCTTTTTTTTTTTTTTTTTTTTTTTTTTTTTGAGACAGAGTTTCAG